AAAACTAACGGCAAGAAATTCGTAAGTATGAAATGGGCTTAATTCATAAGAGGTCTATTTCACTTTGAACTAAAGAAAAGCCAAGTTTTAATGCTGTACCAACAAGAAAGTATTTTTATTGGAAATTGTTATGTATCGTTTGTATAAGAAAAAAATCAGTTAGTGCAACACTTAATCAAAAATGCTAGAATGACTTGACATTTATGAGTTTTGTATATTTTTTACAAATACCTTATATAACTACAAATAAGAATTTAGAACTCAAACATTTGGGGCACGTTTTGCTAAAATAAATTAGTTAGGTCAGACATGAAAAAATTTTGCAAGGTTTTGCTTTATTTCTTAAAGTCGTCTGTGAATACCTGATATCGGTGGTTGTTTTAAAATTTTCTTGCAAGGCTACACAAGGGTTATCTGTCGACAACCATGTCTAATTTTGAACCGATAGAGTTAAAGGAAGACAGCTAATCAGCGGAACCCACCGCCATTCTTGGACTATTCTTATCTGACCGAATAGTGGGATTTGACCGTTACTTTTATTATGCACCCACGGTTCCGAAATGTGGAGAGCGGTCTTTGAAGCAATTGGACGCGTACCATGAATCCTCGGATTCAGATTGGGCATGCTAATTACTAGATCACGACCAGCCAAAACAGTCATTATTTGTGTGTATATTGATTAGATAAATATGATTTCTTTTTAAAACTTTGGATTTTGGTAAATGTCAACATAACTGGATCCAACGCCTACAAAGTTTCTTGTTATTTAGTAACGTGTGCATGGTACGTGCAAATTATGTGAAGTCTTTCTCTATAACTTCTTATAATCCAGGGTTTTATTATTTTTCCTTACGGAAGAAGATTGCATGTGTTTTTTAATTTTTTTTTTTGTTAAGGGCAAAGCTACAAATGGGCTATCTGTGCTGTGGCCGTCACGTGTACCGAAACCCGGTTTGTAGCATTGTAACACTGGGGGGGGGGGTAATTTTGTGTTTATCTTGGTGTTCGTGTTCAGCTTTGAAAAGGTAGGCTGGTATTTTGTTTCTCATACCTGCGTTTAATGAATTCACATCCACTAAACTTTTAGCTGACCGGTGTTTGCGTGTTTGTAGTTTTGTTACCTTTGTGCGTAAAATATAAATATCATACTGAAAGTACAGCTAATTTGCATTGTGTAAATAAGTCATTGTTCTGGTTAAAAAACAAACAAACGGAGGTCAAGTATCTTGAGTGGTTTACAGGTTACCAGAGTTTAACCCTTTGAAGGAGGCTAAAGAACGGGTTAACAATGTTTTTCTATTAGGCACTAAGTAAAAATTATTGACCCTGGTGATAGTTTTTAAAAGTAGTTAGGATACCTTAATAGCATTTATGAATACAACATATTCTACCTATAAAAACACGTTTTGATATATCAGTTGTTGTCCTCCTGATAATAATTCGTCGTTAATGGAAGATGACTGAAATATCTTTTTTAGATTAATATTTTCATTAATTTTATGCTATGTATTTTGAAATATATTTTTTATGTAGAACCCATAGAATGGAATAGAAAAACATGGCCTAAAGAAGTAGGTCCGTTTATATTTAGGAAATAAAAACCACAAAAGAAAAATACAAGGAAGTTATAATTTTCTGTTTTTTCTTTTTTCTTAATTAAACCATTATTACCTGACAAAAGTCTGTTTGTGTTCGCTTATAACTGGCGAACCATGGACCGATTGTCATCAAACTTGGCTGCTCAAGGAGTGACACAGAGAGAGGGGTGTTACTATATCATTCCTGTGTGTTGAATGGGTACGTCAGCTAGTAGACATTTACACGCATATGCCTGACATTATGCTTCATTTATTTATTGTGCTAATTCAGTGCTTTTTTCTGCATAGTGTAAACAAACATAAGCTGAACGCAATGTCACAAAATTTTACTTCACATGGTGTTTGCGCCCCTGTGGCTCAGCGGTAAGTTTGCAGGCTTACAACGCTAAAAATCGAGTTTCGATACCCACGGTTGGTAGAGCATAGATAGTCCGTTGTGTAACTTTGTGCTTAAATTAACAAGAAACCAAAATACAAACACATGGCATACAATCATTTCCAGAATCCTCAGATGATATATCATTATGATCATTCAAAACATGTTATTGTATTATTATCGTCTTTTATGCCACACGTGATCCATTCTAACTTCAATATTTATGACAAACAATTCATGCTTTGTAAAATTATTCAAAAAATCATTAATTCGACAGTAGTATGTATTTTCACGCTAGGTGGACGCTACGTGAAAAATTTGTGTTTTGTAGGTGAACAGTTCCTCACCGTCCATTTGTATTCTATACTCTTTACCAGTAATGTGAGAGAACCTGTTATATTTTCAAACACAGAGTCAGCAAAATAGTTCAACTGTGAACTGATTCGTTAGACCATGAGGTGACTAGTCGGGCTTAACCCGTCTTTTAATGACAAGACCTCATGGTCCAGTTGTTCGACTAATTACAGTTAGAATATTACTAGGAGATCACTGTGAGAAGTTTTCTCACTTTTACCTTATTCAGAACAGTAGAAATGTTGGTGTTCTTTCAAGAACAGTAAAAACCAATGAACTACAAGTTATACAAGTAAAGAAAAACTTTTCAAAAAAGGAAGTAAATGTAGGGATGGTTAATATTAATCCTTCAGAAACAATGCAAACAAGATAGTAGGGATGGCTTTTGCATCATCCTTACATAATAGCACAGGCACAAAGTGTAGTAGAATGTTAACAGGCAAAAATAGGATAAGTTAAACTAAATTGTGATTGAATAATTATATATATATTGCTATATGTTAATTTTTGCCTGTGCTATTATGTAGGCATTGTTTTCAAAGGATTGATATTAGCCATCCCTACATTTACTTCCGTTTTGAAATGTTTTTTCTTTATTTGTTTGCTTTTTAATGTAAGTTCTAAGTACAATGAGGTTTCAACTGTAATATTTATTGTTCATCTACTATTGGCTAGTAATTCCTGTTTCATCCTGTACTTAAGCTTTTTAAAGAAACACCACATTTGTGTAAGAAAGCTAACTTCAAGGAGTAATGATAACATCGTTTACACTACAATCGTGATTTTTCTTTAATTACTACTAGTTATTAATAATACTTATAAAAGTGGGTACTTAATTTAAAAGTATGTCATCTCAGTGAAACTAGTTGGCATCATTGTTTTGGTTTTTGTATTCTTAAAATGAAAAAGAAGAAATTCAAACTTTTTTGCTATGATACTTGTATATATATATACTGCTGTACGGCCAAGGCGGATGACGTACAGCAGACCCACCGCCATTCTGGACTATTCTTATCTGACCGAATAGGAGGGTATT